TCAATCAAAGCTCTGAAGCACAACCACCCCCACGCCTTTGATTGTCCACCAATGCAGTCGTATGCCTGAGCGCAAAGCACTCAACATCGGGTGCTGAAGGTGCGCACACTACTCTACCGAAACTCGAGTGAGCGCCCCGAGTAACGCACTGCACTGGTTTCGTTGGAACTGTTGCCTACAACATCAATATTGCGGCGCTCAGCGGGATACGGCTCGCTAAGCAAGGTACATTGCATAAAGCAGGTGCTGGCTACATAGTCTACTGGGTGGGAAACGTCACCTCAGCACCACGTGAACATGGGGTCGGAGTTGCAGTAGCCGATCGTCTCAATGTCCAGCTGGTGGGTGAGCCGCAGCGACGTCAGCGCCCGACTGATAACTGTTTGTCTACGACTAGGAAGAGGTAAGTTTGTCACTTTTCTAAGTACGTACGGCCCGACCATGTGTTATCCTGAGGACACTCGTGATCAATTCTACATACATTTATACACTCCGTGGTACGGTCTGAGCCAAGGAGCGACCGACTGTTTCTGCTGGATGGTTTCAACACGCACGTTGAACGTGGTGCATCGGTGTGGACTGATGTCATCGTTCCGCATACCATTGGTTCAGCGAATAAGAACAGTGACAGGATGCTCTCACGGTGTGCCATCCACGATCTGACAATCACGAATACTCGGTTTACACTGACTGTGAGTGAAATAGCAACTTGGACACACGCACGGAGGGGGCACATTTACCTGCTCGACTATGTCATTGTGCGTCAACGTGACATACGTGAAGTACGCGTGACACGTGTACTGCATGGACCTGAGTGTGACACTGATCACAAATTGATGCGGAACAAAGTGTACTTATATTTTCGTGCCGTGAATCGGCGTAAATTTATCATTCTTGTCCTCGGAACTGTGACGAAACTTATTAAGCTGGAGTAGGCGATGGATGCACGTCTGTGTGGCGTGGAATGCATACCCACAGTGGGCACCACTTTCGCGGTCACGTGACGGCTGCTACCGCGGAGACCTTTGGGCGCGCAAACCGTAAGCAGCCTGAATGGTTTGATGAAAACAATGCGAAGATTGGCGCATTGATGTCTGAGAAGAACGCAGCATTTGTTGCATATGTGGCCGACCCCAGTGACTTGGGTAAGAAAAGTCCGTATCGCAGAATTCCACTGCGACTGCCTCGATAGCTCCATTGCATTAACAAGCATGATGGACGGAGAAAGCGAAGCATTTGTAATGCTACGCCGAACGCCGCCAACGCTAATAATTCTGACTCCTTGAACCTAGGCTGGAACCGCTGAGGACGATCCTCGATAGTAGCTCAAGCGCTGCGAGCACCCAGACTGCAGACTAACGCAGATTTGGCGAAAGCACTTTGTTCGTCTATCGAAAAACCGTTTTGAGGTTCTCCGGTCTACCTTGAATCTCCTAAAGCAGCCAGCGGTGAAGGTGAGTTTGGCGGACACGCTGACTGTAGATGAGACGCGAAAAGCACTTGCTCAACTGTGAAACGCCAAGTGTTCCGGTGCCGACGGGATCCCGCCTGAAGTATTGAAACACGGCGGAGCCGTGTTTTTGACTGCGATTCACCACTTGGTGTAATGATACTGGATTGAGGAGAAGGTGCATCCGGAGCTGAAGGATGCTCTTGTGCTACTATTGTACATGGGCAAATGAGCACGCAATGTCGTACGAATTATCGTGGTATCAACTTGCTGAGTTGTGTGGTAAAGGTGGTTTCACGAATCCTGCTCAACCGCCTCGTCAGTCAGTTTGTGGAAGCGAACGTGACGGAAGCCTAGTGTGGATTCCGTTTTGGTCGCAACACCATCGATATGGTGTTTGTGGCTCGTCAGTTGCAGGAGAAGTGCAGAGAAGGACATCAGTCGTACTCGCTGTTTGTTGACTACAACAAGGCATTTGATGCGGTGGACAGCGAGGCATTGTGGCTGGTGTTGGGTAAGTTTGGTTGCCCGCGTAAGTTTGTAAGTTTAATTGAATGTCTGCACAGTGGCATGCGAGCGAGGGTGCATCTGAATGGACAAACCTCAGGTGACTTTGCTATTGTTTCTGGCATGAAGCAAGACTCTGTCTTAGCTTCTGCCCTGTTTAATATTTATCTTCATGCAATGATGTCTGGTGCTTTTGATGACCCTTGTGCTTACGGTGTTCGTGTGGAGCACCGTATTGATGGTGGGTTGCTGAACATTCGTCGTTTCGGTGCGAAAACCCTAGTGTGTGAGACAACTATCCGTAACTTGCTCAGTGCAGACGAATGTGCCTTGTTTGCACACAGTGCGGATGAGTTGCATCACATGACTTGTGCTCTGGCTTCGACAGCGGCCAAATTTGGGCTCATCATCAACACAAGAAAACCTGTCTGCCTGTTTCAGCCTTCACCGGAGGTGCCATCATCAATATTGCGGCGAATTAGCATTGGTGCTGAAGGATTGGAAACCACCTCTCGCTTCTGCTACCTTGGGAGTGTGATGTTGACTGATCAGCAGCTTCACAGTGAGCTGGGTATCCGCGTGTCGAAGGCAGCGGCGGCATTCGGGAAGCTAGAGTACAAAATGTGGAATAACCACCTGCTTACCGTTCGCACGAAGCTGATGGTGTACAAATCCATGGCGCTGTCCGTTCTTCTATATGGCAGCGAAAAGTGGACGACGTACCAGCGACATGGGGTGTGTCTCGAGCGGTTTCATTAACAGTGTCTGCGACGGATTCTGCGCAACAATTGATATGACAGAGTTTCAGACGCGGAAGTGTTGCGCCGAAGTGGAATGTATGCAGTGGGCCGCATACTTTTGCTGAGACACCTGAGGTGATTCGATCATGTGTGCCTCATGGATTAGACGCGGATACCGAAGCAGCTATTGCATGATCAGTTGTGTGTTGGGAAGCGGTATGCGGGGAAACCGAGGCATCGTTACCAGGACATGATCAAAGTAAACCTATTACGTTCTAATCTTTATTGCAGGTCATGAGAATCGAAAGATTTTTATCAGCGTGCATGGCGCGATCTGATCATGAAGGCCGTTGCCGAGGTGCAAGAGAAAGCCTTCGTGTACGCAGAGATGAAACGGCAGGTGAGGAAGGACATGCGCCGTTGGGGTGTACTCCATAAACGTCGAGCGCATGGTGCTGTAGTACATGCGGTCGCGATTTCCTAAGTCAGGCAGCCTAGTCAGCCACGAGCGAAGCCACTCTGGACCACCACCGAAACGACAACGGGTCCTGCAGTTACCGTAGGCAGAACCGGCTCAGAGATTGTAGATACGCTGCATTCGATTTACTAACCGCCTTCTTGCATGCGGAATCTCTTTATTTCAGGTAGTGGGTTTTGCTATATTGTCCTAATGCCTTTTTATCTCACATTAATGTCTACCTAAACCATCCTACATAAACTTGCACACGTCGCTTGAGCTAATTGTAGTTGACTTCGATAGTATTTGCGCAGTTGTGGCATTTTCTTAATATATATTTTCCTACGTATTGAAATTTTTGTGGACTTTTGCAACCAATTTAATTTATACGCTCAGTTAGTGAAGTGTTATGTCGCCGTATCTGGATGCGTTATTCGATTTATTTTATTTGATATTGTCCTTTCAAGTAATTGGTTATTGCTTCATATCCCCGGTGGGGATGCGCTTGATGTGCATGATGACAAGGTGCCTACCTGTCTAGTACACACTACCTCGTCCATACTGGCTCCAGGAGACAGTTGGTCGTTGCTGGAGGGGACGGGGTGCACGTTCCTTGTTGCCGTGCTAGACCCGAAGAGTGGTTCCATGCACTCAGTGTGGAGCGGACTGCGGTCCAGCCACCGCCTTGTGTGCACTTGATTCCCAAATACAGCGTGCTTGTGTTTGCCTGTGTTTGCTTGTGAAGGAGTGTGGACCGGCTCCGTTGATGAAACGTGGCTCCCATCCGCATGCCTCCCGGCCTTATTCCTTCGGGTTTACACTGGATATGGGGTGTGTGGATGGAACTGTGCGTAGTGCAGCGCAAGCCACCCATGGTCCCTCTGTAGGCGCAGGCGTCTTGTGGCTGGCCACAGCGACAGGCAAATCCGAAACCGGATGCCGCCGACCAATCTTAACAGTCTAGCAACTAGACATAGAATCAAGGAAAAACATGGAGATTAGCCGATAAGGGGAAGTCATCGAGTCGTAACCATCGTGGCATAGTATTTGAGGATGAGCAACACACTCCATCTACTATGCTGCAGGAAGAATGGATCATGTTGACAAAAGGTAGAACAAACGTTTTTATTTTGTTTTTCACACACCGATTTTCCTCTTTTCTGTCATTTTCAATGTCTGCAGTATTAACTATGTGAATCAGTGCAGTTCTGTACACAATGCTTCCACTGATTCCTATTGCGGGCCATGTCTTCAAGAGCGTTAAGCCATTGCCACTCCCCATCTTTGGGTCCCTATCCTGGAAGACGTACGGATCCAACAGCGGCTATACACGACGTCAGCGATTTCATGTGCCGTCACCAAGCGGAAGGTTGACCACCACGCGGTCACTTCCGGTCAGGTCCTTGAGGAGTGAAAAGAACGCAACGCGGTAGATGTTGAGGTGATCGGCGTAGCACGTGACCTAGCTAAGCATGAATAATGGCTTTGTTGGAAGTAAATACTCTAATATTCAGTGATTTCAAAACCTGGGGACATGCTTCTATAGAGAGTTCTAAAATATAAAGACATTTAGCGATTTAGAAACTGTTATATCCATCCATAATAAATTCCAATGGAACCGCGCAAGTGAAGCTACTATTGTAAAATGAAAATCAGTACAGCGGGCCATCTGTCAGAACTTGGTTTAGCCATGTTTTGATGGCCTGCAAACCTGTGTCGACCATGCATAAACATCTTTGTACAAGCAAAATACTGTGTCACTGCAACAATCTAGAAATAATTTTAAACTATCTTGCAAAGTGAGTGTTACGTTATCTTTTTTTTTCCACTGCTTACTACACTAGATATGGATACCTCGCTACTAACATCCGCAAGAAAACATATTGAGGTGCGCCGGGGACATGCTTTGGTCTTGTGGCCTTGGACATTTCGCACTGAGGAGAATGACGGGAACACCATTGGCGATCAATCACAACGGACAGTCAGCTCCAAAAGTTTTTCAGTGCCACCACCTCAAGCTCGTTGGACTATGAATAATGCGCCAGTGATCATTTCACGTAGTGTCTACATAAGTTTGATCAGTCAAGCCTTGATCCTGCTAAACGTCGATAATGATGTTCATTCGCAAATTTTTCGGGCTTCGCTGAGCAATGGATATAGGTCATCGGATGAAAACACCGCAGCTTACAGTCAGATACACATTATACAAGTAACTGGTGAGCAACAGGGTTGCCTGACGTTTTTTACCTCAACTACTGGGGTGTACGCACCCTAGCCATTTGTTTCTCCAACCCGTACAAGTCCGTTATGGACTGCCCTAGAAACGATAAAATGATAAGCATTCGGTATCGTACATGCCGCAGACCACACTCCTTTTCATTTGCATAGCACTTGTATCGTATATCGCTTCTTATGATAAATTGATGCAGTAGAAGCTCGGTTATCCAACACAGTAAACGCAAAACGGTAACTTAAACACGTTAGCTCATGAAAGGAACGTTTGTTTACTTTTTTATAGCAGCTGTTTTAAACGAATACAGGTTCCTCCTGAAAAGTACTGCAACAGTTGAAGAGTATATAGACTAATTACTAACTGAAAACATTTGGTTAAAATAATGCAATGTTCGAAGTTCAATGAAGCTTTCGAACTGTGGCTCAAATATTTAAACTTATTGATCCTTTGGTTTGCTTTTTAGAGCCCCAACCCTCGCGGTCTACCCACTCACTGGAGATCATATTGGCTCCAAAGGACGTAAAGCTTTTGATACTTGAGGGACAAGAAAGCAAAGCTACGTTTGAATGCATCTTCAACGCGAGGCCAGTTGAAATCTTTATCTAACCTGATGATATCACTAGTGAACCTTCAGAATTTTATGCCGGCTTACAGTATCCGTTATTACCAACGTTTAAGTTGGTTGAATCATTGGGTCTCTGTAGAACGTTTCTATTACTCGCAGTGTCACTATGCAGGCCCTCGCCATCGGTCCTGGTTGGAAAATCCTTCTAGGCAACCTCGTGCATTAATATCACTACAAAACTTATTTGATTTGTAGAACTGTGGTGCTTTGTATTTTGCAGTCTCCTCTAAAGTTGGCGGCATTGCAGAATGGTGAAGACCCTTGATATGGATTGACTGTCACTTTTCCAAATGCGATTAGAGGCAATTAACTAATGGGACCTGAAGAAGTATGACATTTATGTAATATATACTTAGAATTAGCACATACTACAAAGCAAAAGCACATTTCTATTCCTATTTTGTACCGAATACTTCGAGCTTTTTCCTTTACTTTTGTTCAACACTTACATAGATAACAGTCCCTGCCAAATCGTGATGTCTTGTTACTTATAAATTAATTTAGTAAACCAATTGACATGATATGTCTCATTGTAGACCAGCAAATGCCCTCCGCGTTCAATGGTTTCGTAGAATATTTTCAACAAAACACAGTGAAATTCGTCTACTTGACACAAGGGATAACCATTCCAGTTGTGACCAAGGAGTACGACGACACAAATTCGATAAATCTGGTCTAAATCGAAGTATTACAATCTCAAAAGTTGTCCAAGCATCCAGTGATTTTCAGGAAGAATATATCTGCAAGGCATTATTAGAAACAACTAACGAAGACCAATTTGCTGCTAGTAAAGATCGTTTTTCCACTGGATTGTCAACCGGTGGAATGCCATTCAAGGAATCGATGTCAGCAACAGCCAGGCTGTGGATAATAAGCCCACCAAGGCTCGGATTTCCTCGTCAAATGATTCCGATGGAAGTATGGATTAAGAATGGGAGGCCTCGCGCCGCCAACATACAGGGAGTTGTCAGTTCGAAACAAGTACTCACCTGTATGTATGAATATACAGGACAGCCCAAGGCAACAATGAGCTGGTTGAAAAATGCACAAGTGTTGAAAAACGATGGATCAAGGTGTGTTCCAGCTTAACTCCCCAGAGATTTGTAGTAACGGTGCATAAGTAATACCGTACACTGCTAGTCTATAATTTATTTTAGGCTACTACCATAGGTCACCGCAATGCCTCAGATACTGGGTTACTTCAAATTCGTTTGAAAACAATGGTATTGACTAGTCAAGTCAACTCAAGTCAAAATAAGCTTTATGTACCTTAATGGGTTCCTTTTCAGCATTTACACCAGCATTTATACCATCGTCATTTTAACTTGGATGTTTTGCAAACCAAGTAAGAAATGCAGCAAAACACATTGTCGATTTTGCAAACCATGTTGGGCATATTGCATTTTGAGCAGAGACACAGCAATTTGTTCGCAAGAAACGAGGACTAGACCGGCTGGACCATGTTCAGACCACATTGTATTCATGCTAGCACAACCGACTTGTGTAAGCAGCGGGTGCCACTGCAAACTCTTCTCTTGATCATGAACCTCGAGCATCTATATCAGAAGTAGTGACTGAGTTTCCCCCTCTCTCCCCGTCGGAAATCGCGTAGTTAGTGTGCCTGTGCCTGTAGTTGTGTGACTATTGAAATGTTGGCCTGAATCGTGTAGTCTAATACGATTTATACAGACGTTACCTAACATCGGAGGGTCATCGCAAAGCACGCGTTTTGTAAATGGAGTGTGCTGCGCACTCTTAACATGGACCACGATTCCAACTGAAGTAAACTTTGGCCAATTCCATCATTGGAACAGTGACCGGTAACCCAGTTGTCTCTTGTCAAACTGGGGACCTTCACGTATTTCGTGTGGGTGTGTGGGCGAACCTATGCAGCTGCACGACTACTGGAACAGTGTAGGCTATCATGACTCCACCTAACCCAGTCATCTTCCTCCACTACCTTTGATAACAAACTGCAACATTAGGCCAGTAAAGCTAGACTGGTTTTGGTCGATGCATAACAGCCTGCACGGATCCACTAATCGAGCAGCTTAACATGTTAGCCCACACATCAACAGGAAATACGAGAAAGCCCATAGAGTGATAGTGACTACCGGGTCGCCGCATATCGGCCCCATCAGTTACGGTCCAAGTGATAGAACTGGTCATGGTTTATTTCAGTGGGAATCGCGGTCCAGACTGAGATTGCGCATCGCATTCCATTTACAAAATGCTTGCTTTACAAAGACCCTTCAGTGCTATATAACAATTGTTTAAGCCATCATGGACTGTGCGATACAATAGTCTGACTTTCCAGTATTCACATAGCTACACAGGTCTAATTGTAAAGTCAGAGTCACCTAATCTATGCGAGGACCGACGGGTATAGAGATGGATACACTGTCACCGTCTTTGACCGAGGTGCTCAAGCTTTAAGGTCAAGAGAAGAGTTTGAAGTGGCGACGGCTGCTAACACAATTCGATTGCACTTGCATCACAACAATGTAGTCTGATGTAGTCTGGTTTAATCCTCATTTCTAGCGAACGAATTGCTGTTTTTCTGCTGAAAATACTAAATGTCCCATTTGTTATGTGAAACGTTCAAATTGGTTTTAAAATATACCCGAATGGGTTTACAAATCTCTTAATTTAGTGAAAATGGTATTTATGGCAGACGATTGATGTTTCGGACGTCTTGTAGGCCAGACCGCTTGCACTCATTTGCCCCGTAGCTAAGGTTGGATTATTTTCGTTACGGTGTTCCTAACCCGCACTGGGTTATGTCTCGCGATACTTACGTGAAAATTACGCTATGTCAATGAACAACAGGGAACGGCATACCATCCTTCCGATCTTGCCATGTTGCCACCCTATTTCTACTGCACGTCATTTAGTCTGATGCGCATTTGGGTTGCTTCCCATACGCTAGCACAAATAATTACAATGTCATACATGTAGCAAAACCGTTTGGTGGATTTCATCCTTAACTTGTCTTTCAAGTTAAACACAGAAAATATCCGTTCAAGGTAGTCCGACTGAACCTGTTGATACCATTGTTTGTAAAATACAACTTTACCTCTGTGGTGCATAGAATATTAGCTGTTCGATTTCGAAAACTGGAAGACCTAGTTCTAACGGACTCTCAGCCACTTGGATGAGTATAAGCTGGATGAATTGTTTCTGCGGTACGTCGGTAAAATAAAGACTATATCGATGCTAGCCATAGACTTTCCACTCAGCTGCATATCATCTAGTAATCCTACTAATTGTAACTTACCTTCTAGCTTGTGTTTAACCTAACTGGTTGCAGTATCGCCAATAACCGCCTGGTCAGCTCTTCTTGAAGCAAGTTGCTCATGTATATGATTGGCCTCAGTCGAACAGCCATCTTGTGTAGCTGTGGTGGCCAATACAGGAGATGTGGGCCAAATAGTTCAATGACGATTTGACTCCGCAGAGGCGAGAGTTTAACTCGCTGCGCACATCATGCTGCTATACATGACGACATGCCTTTTAAGTACTCGGTTTAACCTCCACTATCTCTGTCCATACATGTACACATCGGTAACCAATTTGCATGTGTTGGCATGCCCATTAGCATAAACATGACGCGGACGAAAATCGCGGAACATATTACAGTGGATCAGGAGCCACTTTGCAAGCATAATCCAACCCACCACTCCAGGTGTGCAGCCAGGGAGCACAAGCGATCTGCTGTACAAGGCGCATGCATCACCAATCGCATGCTCTCTGCTGACAAACAAACGCTGTTTGTACCCAACGCGTATGTTCAATGTCAGTACTCAATTTTGGTTAACACATTGTAAACCAGGCATTTACTCAGTCCCCATAACATTCGTTTTGTCTCCTGTACGGATATCCAATGATTTCTTGAGAGCTTCTATATTGTGCATTTTTAGTTTGTACGTTTCGAGAGTCTATTGTGCTTTAACTTTATAAAGTAGAGAGGGCTGAATGCCATCGATCCCCGTTGCAGTCGGATCGTCGAAATGCCCTACTGATGCATATGCGCTCGATTAACTTTGTACCGCTCTCTTGCCAGCGCAGAAAACACCACAATAGCGGAACAGATTCCACAAAGCTGTGTACGCTAGGAAGTCAGTTACGCAAATAATACAGATGAGTGTCACACTTTATTTTATGTACTAAGAGAAGACACTTAAATAGTCTTGTCATGTTATTTACAGTTTTGGAGAAATGACGAGAAAAGCGAGCTACATCAGTGCAGACAGCTTTGTGAACCATGCTGTCGATGCTTGGGGCCGAATATACAACCTCGGTGGGGCTTTACAGTTCATACTGATTCATCATTGTACAAAACTGAGTACTCAAATCAACGCAGCATTGAAGAAACTACAAATAACGAGTGAGATTACCAAGCAGGAGCGATGGAACATGAAACCTGAGGATACAAATATTGCAAGATTCTATGGATTGCCAAAGGTACACAAAGACGGAGTCCCATTGCGTCCAATCGTCCCGTTGCCAGGAACCCCATCGTACAAATTGGCAAAATGCATGTGGAAGAAACTAAAACATCTAATTGCCGGCTCTGAACAAAGCATCCTCAATGCTGAACGATTCATCAACAAACTGAAGTGTGTTACAATAGAGGAAGATGAAATCATGCTGTCGTTTGATGTCACCGCACTCTTCACGTCGATCAATCACGAACTTGCAAAAGAAACCATGATTGAATTATTTCGAAACCAACCGAACAAAATAGGAAACCTCAAGCCGGAGAGCACATGGGAAATCTTGCAACTCTGCATGACTACTTATTTTTACTTTGATGGGCAAGTATACCAACAACTGAAAGGAACGTCCATGAGATCGCCCACCTCAGGACTTATTGAAGAAGCTGTGGTGCAAAAACTGCAGAGTGTCACAATACCGTTAATCAAAACAAAATTATCGATCCGGTACGTGGACGACACGTTTGTCATCATCAAACGAGATTCCATACAGAATACCCATGAGTTAATCAACAACACGTTCCAAGATATCGAGTTTACAGTTGAACTCGAAAAAGACAACCAGTTACCATTCTTAGATGTACTGGTCCAAAGAAACATTGACGGAGCATTTCAGACATGTGTATATCGAAAGAAGACCCACACAGACCAAATATTAAACTACCACAGCAACCATCCACTGAACCACAAGAATAGCTGCATTCAAAGCCTTTTCAATAGGGCCGAAACACACTGCAGCCCGACAGAATTGAGGAAAAAGGAAGAGAACCATCTATACCGGGTATTGCAAAACAACGGGTATCCAAGAAACTTCATCAGAAGAAGTCTAAAGAAGAGGGTGCAGCAATAACAGCAAGAAAACATAGGTACATGCGTAGCGCTTCCTTACATCAAGAATGTGTCTGAACTAACGTCAAGATTGCTACGACTACATAGAATCTTGTTAGCCCACAAACCAACTGGTACCTTGCGAAGATTGTTTTCAAGACCGAAGGACAAAGTTAAACAAGGCAATCAGAATAATGTCATCTACAAAATTAACTGCAAAGAGTGTGACAAACACTACATCGGGCAAACTGAAAGGAAACTGTCAATACGGATCAACGAACACAGAATGGCCATACGGATACACGATCAACATTCACTGGTTTCCATGCATGAAGACCAAGAAGGCCATCACTTCGACCTAGAGAACGTTAAGATCTTAGCCCTTGGAAATTCGAGAAAAGCTAGAGAATTCTTGGAAGCATGGTATTCTTTGGACAATTCAGTAAATCGGCACGTTGAAATAGATGCTATATATACAGCGCTACGGATGAAAAATCACCGAATTAGTAGAATAAATCTAACAGAACAGAACGCCAGACTAGTGCATCAAACGACGACAACCGAAGAGTCACGCGCGTCTACACTACGAGGTGAGAATCAGAGATGAATCTCGATGGTCATGTGCATGTCGAACAATCCGAACTCAGACTAGCGGCTGGGAGATCGATCACTCAGACTCACGGACCCTTCGTACGCGCCACTCTGCTACTTACACGCGCACTGATGATGTCACCTAGAGTGGTGACGAAACGTTTGCAGTCAACCTGCCGAGCACAGCGAACACTCACTCAACCAACTGAACAACCTGAGCTACCAACATTTGCTTCCATATCGCCTTCAGGATCCCCAGGAGCATTTTGCATTACCGTCCCCTCATTACCTGTTTTGCATGGGCCTTTATTGTGCTTCAGATGCCCTCGATGGGATTGAGAGCTGGAGAGTATGTCGCAAAGCGTAGAAGTCTCCCAGAGCGGTACGGTTCCTCCAGGGAAACGTGCTCCAGGTGCGTGTGTCAGGACGTGTTAGCACAAACCAAAGGAC